AATTACATATAAAACTTCGTCTATACTCTAATAAAAAGTTCCCAGACCAAAGAGGTCACCTTAATACCAAAAAAAAACAAAAAACAAAAACAAACAACTATAATAATGCATAACACTAAACAGATTAAACAAAAACAAAAAACCATAACAATGCATAACAGATTAAACAAAAACAAACAAAACCTTATTGATACATAACAATACAAAAGAAAAACTGCAAGTCTTATTTAGTAAGATTTGCAGGTTTTTCTTTTGCATCACTTAACTATTTTTCGGGATAATAGAATGCATAATATATAAATATATGTACATACGTACATACATATTAGGAAAATTTTTAAAATTTTCCAACACAATGAATGTGAGTTAAATTTAACCAAACTTGTGTAAATATTTATACCATTGTTAAAATATAACAGTAATGCCAAAAAATTATTTTTTATTAAAATTGAATTACATTTAATTCAACATACCAAAATACAATTAACTAAAGTAACCCGGCTAGCAGCATATACAAAGAAATTTTGTATTTAAAAGATTACAACACGATCCCTCAAAAGTTATTTCTCCTACTCAATATTGCATAGGATAACATTCACTGGTAAAAAAAATAAAAATTTGACATAGCACTATTCAAATGCTATTCAATATGCTATTAAACTTATTATATAACTTCATGGACATTCATGTCTGCGAAATTATATTATAAGTTGAATGGCATGTCAAATAGTGCTATTCAATATGTCAAATTTTATTTTTTTATCAGTGAGTTTGCCAACAAATATAATACCTACAGCTAATCAAATGCCAACCCTAACACTATGTAATGTCATGTAGGTGGCCTTTAAAGAATAATATTCAGGGAGTTGAGCAACAACCTTTACAAAGATTGTGATTGTACTTGAAATGAACTCATTTTATGAGTTGCATTTAGGGTGCTCTCGGATAGCTTACCCAATTAATTAGTTAGTGATCATAATGGTTATGGTAAAATTTAATTAGATCTTTGTTAAAGATCAATAGAACAAATAATAATGTAATTGACTTGTAATTGTGTTTATGTTTAAGCATTGCAATAATTGAAATATTTATTTCGATAGTTGTACAAATACTTTTATTATTCTATCTTATCGTTACCATTAAAAACATTATTGCTTTTACAAAACCGTAATAATAAAAAAAAATTTATTTATCACAATCTAAATTGCACTGTGATTTTAATTAAACATACCCAGCTGAAATTCAATATAAAAAATAAACCGGTAGGAATAAGCGAGAAGACAAGCAATTGAATAATAAAATTTAAACATACCAATTGAAAAAGAAGTTGAATCTAACTCAACATACCAAATAACTCGAATTCAATACATCGAGTAGCTTGGCTAGAATGAGCAAGTTGAATCTAAATCAACACACCAAGCAACCCGGTGGAACATGTAAATCGACAAAAAAAAACCCAACTAGAATAACTTGACCAAAATAAAAAATGAATTGGACCTAATTCAAAATGTTCATGTAACCCGGCTGTAATAACTATAATAAAAATAATCTGGCAAACACAGCTAAAATGAGCAAGTTGAATCTAAATCAACATACCAAGTGACACGTAAATCGACCCAAAAAGACCCGACTGGACCAGAATAAAGAACTGGACCTAATTTAAAATATTTATGTAACCCGGCTATAATAACTATAATGAACATAATCCAGCAAACACGGCTGAAATGAGCAAGTTGAATCTAAATCAATGTACCAAGTGACACGTAAATTGACTAAAAAAAACCTGACTGGAATAACATGATTGGAATAAAGAATTGGACCTAATTCAAAATGTTCACATAACCTGGCAGTAATAACTATAATTCAGCAAATATGGCTGAAATGAACAAGTTAAATCTAAATCAACATACCAAGTGACACATAAATCGACCAAAAAAGACCTGACTAGAATAACATGACTGGAGTAAAGAATTAGACCTAATTTAAAATGTTCACATAACCTGGCAGTAATAACTATAATGAACATAATCCGGCAAACACGGCTGAAATGAGCAAGTTGAATCTAAATCAACATACCAAGTAATACATAAATCGACCAAAAAAGACCTGACTGGAATAACATGATTGGAGTAAAGAATTGGATCTAATTCAAGATGTTCACATAATCTGGCAGTAATAACTATAATAAACATAATTTGGCAAACATGGCTGAAATGAGCAAGTTGAATCTAAATCAACATACCAAGTGATACGTAAATCGACCAAAAAAGACCCGGCTGGATCGAATAAAGAATTGGACCTAATTCAAGATGTTCATGTAACCCGGCTGTAATAACTATAATGAATATAATCTGGCAAACACGGCTGCAATGAGCAAGTTGAATCTAAATCAACATACCAAGTGATACATAAATCGACCAAAAAAGATCTAACTGGAATAACATGACTGGAGTAAAGAATTGAATCTAATTCAAAATATTCACATAACCTGGCAGTAATAACTATAATAAACATAATTTAGTAAACACAGCTAAAATAAACAAGTTGAATCTAAATCAACATACCAAGTAACACGTAAATTGACCAAAAAAAACTCGGCTGGATCAAATAAAGAATTGAACCTAATTCAAGATGTTCATATAACCTGGCTATAATAAGTATAATAAACATAATTCAGCAAACATGGCTGAAATAAGCAAGTTGAATCTAAATCAACATACCAAGTAACATGTAAATCGACCAAAAAAGACCTGGCTGGGAATTGGACCTAATTAAAAATGTTTATATAACCTGGCTATAATAACTATAATGAATATAATTTGGCAAGTTGAATCTAAATCAACATATCAAGTGACACGTAAATCGACCAAAAAAGACCCGACTGGAATAACATGATTGTTGTAAAGAATTGGACCTAATTCAAAATATTCACATAACCTGGCAGTAATAACTATAATAAATATAATTTAGCAAACACGGCTGAAATGAACAAGTTGAATCTAAATCAACATACAAAGTGATACATAAATCGACCAAAAAAGACCTGACTGGAATAACATGATTGGAGTAAAGAATTGAACCTAATTCAAGATATTTACGTAACCTGGCAGTAATGACTATAATGAACATAATCTGGCAAACACGGCTGAAATGAACAAGTTAAATCTAAATCAACATACCAAGTGACCCAGTGGAATATGTAAATCAACCAAAAAAGATCTGACTGAAATAACTTGACCGAAGTAAAGAATTGGACCTGATTCAAAATGTTTATATAACCTGGCTGTAAATATAATGAACATAATTCGGCAAACACAGCTGAAATGATCAAGTTGACTCTAAATTATCAACGTACCAAGTGACCCAGTAGAATAATCACATTGAACACATTGAACCCATCCAGGTCATTTTGGTATGTCGCATTAGGATAATCAAATTGAACCTAATTCAACATACCAAAATGACCCAGCTGGAAAAATCAAACAGAATCTAATTCACATCTCAAAATGAGCAAATGAGCAGGCTAAAATAATCAAGTAGAACGTAATTCAACAGACCAAATGATTCGGCTAGAATATGTATAATAATCTGGCTAAAATGAATATATAAAGTGAGCTGGCTAGAATAGCTGATCCAACATACCAGCTAAAATAAGTAAGTCGATATACTAGTTAGTATATCGAAGTACATCAAACATAATTCAATATAAAAAACTAACCTGGTTGGAATAAACAAATTGAATCTGATTCAACATACCGAAAATTGACCTGGCTGGAATGAATATGGGGTTGAGTCAATAGAAACCAAGCAAATTTTTTTTAGTAAGTTTTTTTTAAATTTTAAACAAGAATAACTTAACAAAAACTTGATCAAATTTAATAAAATTTTTTTTAAATTAATTCTACAAGTTTGTAAAAATTATTTAAAAAAATTTTTATTAAATTTGGTTAAGTTTTTGTTAAGTTATTCTTGTTTAAAGTTATAAAAAAATTTTATTATAAAAAATTTGCTTGATTTCTATTGACTCACCCCATATATTGAACATAATCAATATAACAGTGACTTGGTCTGAAAAACAAGTTAAACCTTCAATATACCAAATAAGCTGTGAAATAAGCCAAAACGACTCTGCTAGAATAAGTAAGGTGGATTGAACTTAATTCAATATGCCTAAGTGACCTGGCTGAAACAAACGAGTTGAATCTAATTCAACATACCAAAATAACCCAGATAAAATAAACAAACTCGACATCTTGAATAATCAAATTGATCCATACCAAGTGACCTGCCTTGAATAAGTAGGCTTGTTCGTTAGTATTACGCACTTGTTTGAATTATTCACTGCATTATTTGCACTTTGCCTAACTACTCTAAGATATATTTATTAAGAGCATGAAAATTAAAGTAGAATCAATCTTACAGATCGAGCCTCCTTATTTATTTATTTTCTTATATGCATAATTATATCATCAGTCTATTAAAATAGACTTTTAAGGTACAATACAGATCTATTACAATTGCACAGCCTCCTTATCATTATTAAGTTGATTCTATTAATATCCATCTCAGCGCAACTTCAGTATTAAGTAACACGATCCCAATGCTAGAATAAGCAAGTTGAATCTACCAAAACAACCTGGCTTGAATAATCAAATTGAACCTAATTCAACATACTTGAATAAACCTAATTCAACACCCGGTTAGAATAATAGCACAATTGGAATAATTATGTTGAACCTAATAAATTAAAATTGGTAAGATTGATTATTAAAAAAAAATTAAAATTGATTATTAAAAAAACATTAAATAATAAGTAAGGAACCTAACTTAACATACAAAGACTTGCTTTGCATACTCTGTGACTGTCATGTAATTACTATTATTGCCGAATTGCACTCATGTTCATGTCAATCTTTAACCTTTTCAATATATCTATCAATCATACCGCCTTAAAAAACAGTACTAAAGCCTTCTTTAGCAAAGTACTTTATACAGTATTTGTAAATTTACTAATAGGTATCTATTCAATAATATCCACAAGCCTTGCTGCATTAAGTTGTGTTTTTGAATTATTGGTCAATGCCGTGATTGTCACTTGTCTAATATGAGATTCTTTTTTTTTAAATCTTAATATTAAAAGATAATAAATATAATAATAATACGATCTGACTGAAATAAATAATTCAATATATCAATATAATCTTGCTGGAATAAGCAAGTTAAAACTTAACTCAACATACCAAGCAACCCGCTAAAATAAGCAAGCTGAATCTAATTCAACATACTAAACTGACCTGACTAAAACAAATAAGTTAAGAAAGAGACGAACCTCCTTTTCCCTATTCTTTAACAACTCCAAACTCATTATAATCACTTTAAAATAAATTAAATCTCACATTATCTAATATTTTCTTAAGTTCAGGATTGACATGATCTGGTGATTTATTAGTTTTCAAAAGATTTTTATATTTTGAACCTAATTCAAAATACCAGTAAATACCAGTACAACCTGCTAAATAAGCAAGTTAACCCTAATTTAAATACCGGTGCGATCCTACTAAAATAAGCAAGTTGAATTAAATTATGTATACTGAGTAACCCGCTATAATGATAATGAGAAATTTGAATCTAACTCAACATACCAGAGTGTACCCAAGCAAACCAACTAAGATAAAAAAATTAAACATACCAAGTAACCCGGATAGGTGAATTGACCCAATTTAACATACAAAAATGACTGACCGAAGTAATCAAATTGGATATAATTCAATATACCAAACTGACTCAGCTAAAATATTGAATCTAAATCAACAAAATGACCCGGTTAGAATATCAAATTTGGCAGACCAAAATGACCTGGTTGGGCTAAAAAGTTGAATATAAATCAACATATTAATATAACCTGGCTGTAATAGGAAATTTGAAAATACTGAGAAGATATAAATAATCAGTTTTTATTATTACTGTGAGTCTAAGTAAATTAATAAAGTTCTGTTATCGTTATATCAAATTTTTTTTTGTATTTATATCTCAATCCAGGGATCAATCCGGGGATCAATCTAGGGATCAATCTGGGGATCAATCTGGGGATCAATCTGGGGATCAATCTGGGGATCAATTTGGGGATCAATCTGGGAATCAATCTGGGAATCAATCTGGTGATCAATCTGGTGATCAATCTGGAGATCAATCTGGAGATCAATCTGGTGATCAATCTGGTGATCAATCTGGTGATCAATCTGGTGATCAATCTGGTTTTATTAGGCCCAATCTGATTCCACAGTTTGGATCAGATGATAATCCGAATCTGCCAGATCCAGATTTTCAGAACACTAATAGAGATAACCTAAAGAGAGAATATTACACTATACAAATGTAAGAAGGGTAATAAGGGTAGTTGGGTAAGGCTAGATTCTATGAGAGGGTAGGGAACTTTAATTTGAGCAGAAGGGGCAAAAGGCTTCCTTTTTATAACTTTTCTATATATAAGAGGCATAACGGCTAAACCGTGTAAGAGGCACTTAGAAGCACTGTATAGAGGCACTTGTGTAGAGGCATTTAGAGACACTTGTATTAGAGGCACTCAGAGGCACTTGGAGGCACTTGTACAGAGGCACTTGGAGGCACTTGTACAGAGGCACTTGGAGGCACTCATGTAAAGACACTTGGAGGCACTTGTGCTACCTTAGATATAGTATTACTGTGCCAAATATAACTATCCAATAACATCTCTATAGCTAATAAATAATAATAAAATGCTAACTAATACTATATTAATAAATATATAATAACTAATAATATAATGATAATACAATTGTTCAAATATAAATTAACTATTCTATACTTTTGTTGCACTGTGTTACAACCTACTTTGTAACACAATAGAGAATAGTAATAAGGCAATTGAGTGAAAGAATATATAGAAAGACATAAGTAGAGATAAAGGCAATATGTGCAGAAGTACAGAAAGACATAAAGATTGGGTCTTTAAGATCAAGTGCTTAAACAATTTACTGCCAACAATGCAAGTCCTATACTAGAGAAATGTGAATATTTATATAGATGATAAGTGTAAAATATGCTATCAAGAAGCCAAAACTCAAGAGCACCTTGCCAAATGTTTTAAGTATCAGTATTTGTGGGAAACTATAGAGAAAGAAGGAAGCAAGGTTATTGTTAAGAAAGCAAAAAGAGAAAAAGAAAAGCTCATGACAACAGAAATACAGAGAATTACAGAAATAATATTTGAAGAGAACCTACAAGAAAGAATTTTGACTAGAATAGAGCTAATAAAAGGTCTTATAACAAAAGAGAGAATGGAGAGATTTAGTTTTTTGCTATATGAAGCAAAGAGAATCTCCAAGTTTCTCCAGGCTTTCATTAACAAAGTCAAAACACAGTTCCAAAAGCATATATAGAATTTCCAGTATGAATTGGTGGCAGAATGAGAAAAGAATAGAGAAATAACCAAAAAAGATAAAAAAGTAAAGAAGGACAAAGAAACATAGACCCACAGACCAATAAAGGAAGAACAAGAGCTAAAAAATCAAGAACTAGAAAAAAGATACAAACTCAAAGCAGCTAAGGTGAAAGAAAAGCTAATCGAAAAATGAGTCTCATGGGGCAACAAACTGGCATGGTTCTCGCTAGTCAGAATTAAATCCAATGTTTAAGCATGCTTGACACAGCAGACAATAGCCAACTATTAACCAAGAAGGTATCGTTATAGTACAAAATCCTTAGAAAGTTAAGGGTCCTAAGGGAGGTGAATTGTTGTTTTGGCAGGTCACGCTAGACAAAGTGCTTAATAAGTTTTTATTAGATTAGAACATTATACTATAAAGATTATATATACATGTATATTAGTTACATAGTGGTTCAAATAAATAAAAGCAAGACTGCTTAAAAAAAAATATAATAATAATAAATTTATATAATCTAAGATTTATTTATAAACAAGGTTCATTTGTTAGTATAGCAATTAATATTATAAACTTTAAAATAAAATAAACTATATTGTCTTTAAAGAGATGTTGAAGATAACTTGTCTAGTATAAAATTTGGCATTAAAATTACAAGTTTTGGCAAAATATTATCAAACTATTATATATAATGATATCTTGTTAAATTATTGTTATATAAAATACAAATATTAAATAGCTAATATATTATCTAATATTTTTATATTTAACTTGTATAAGTTGTTATAACTAGTGTTTAAAATTCAAATTTAAAATAATATTTTAAAATAAATTTAATTTAATTGATGATTCTCTAGTCAACTAATATGTGATCTTAGTAAAAAGTAACTCAGATTACTATATAAATTTACTATGATGCGAATGTAGCATTCATCCAAGGTAAACTTTTTTTATACTAAGTTAATCATCTTTCTTGCTTAAGAGACTTTTGTAAAGCTTGTCAAGATGCATTTAATGGTGGTTAGAGTG